CCCAGTTTATAAGGTGCTACTAAGAGCTAAATAGTTTAGTTTGTTTTGCAACATCACTCGTTAATTCCCCTAATCCCTCAAATAATTGAATAGGGTTCGAATCTAATTGAGAAGAATCCAAAATGGGGTGATACCTTATGGAGTAAAGCGACCGGGCCCCCTTCCCCGGTGTATTGGGGCGTATAGCTGGTATTTTAACTTAAACCTATGTCTAGAATTAGACTTACTAAAGCCCAAAAGGCAGCCATAGTCTTTCCACCTGAAATCAAAGAAGTAATTACAGGTATGGTTCTCAGTGATGCTTGCATAGTTATGAACGGTAAGGAGGGTTGTCTTAAGATAAAGCAGTATGACCCTGCCTTTGTTTTTTACCTTTGGAATCTATTTAACGAACTACGGTATCGTTGGGCCAAACCTAAAGAAGTCTCTCAGTTTCTAGAGGTTACAGGTAAAACCTATATTGCTTACGCCTTTTCTACCTTTACACTTCCTTACTTTACTGAACTCCATTCTCAGTGGTATAGATTGATTGATGGTAAGAATGTGAAGGTCCTCCCTTTAAATATAGCTGAACTGTTGACCCCTATTGCCTTAGCTTATTGGCAGGCTGGCGATGCCCATTACGAAAAACGGGACGGGTGTATCAAAATAGCGACCCATTCATTCACCCAGCGGTAGTCGATTTATTGCGAGATATAACTCTTAAGCAAGTTTAACATTAATGCTACTCGGGGTTCTGCAGGAAACAAAGGTAAAGAACAATATGTTATACGGATCCCCAAACGTGAAGTTGGCAAAGTTCAGGCTCTAGTTGCTAAACATATTCCAGCTTCTATGGCTTATAGAGTGACATTGCACTTTAATCTTAGTTTGTGCCGTTAGAGGGCTTGGCAAGGCCAGTAATTCGCTTTCTCGATTTAAGTCGAGTTAAAGTAACCCATACTGGAGGCAATAGCTCAATAGGTAGAGCATACCGCTCATAACGGTCAGCTTGGTGGTTCGAATCCACCTTGCCTCACTTTTAGAGCCGCTAGGGGCCCCTAACTAGCTTCAGTCTACGGCTAGTCGAATCTGGGGCGGGTGTTATCGAGGTAAAATTCTCTTTGCCAGTCTCATGGTATGATCGAACTCCTACTGTATCAAGGGTATGATTGTAGGCCGGAGTTCTCTTGTCTGACGGTTGGCTTTCATTTGCTAGTTCTACGAACAAAAATGCTCGACTAGGATTCGAGCAATCTTTAGCTCATTTGGGTTATTTTTGGTACTATTTACTTTGTTAGCTCCTTTCTGTTCTAGTCTACCAACTTTCAAGACTAATCTTAGAGCCGGCGTTCGAAACACTAGTCTACTTTTACAGACTCGTTCCTTACCTTATCCGGATGTTTAACGGAACTTCATTCATTATTCTACTTCAACGGTGTCAAGGTAGTTCTCAGAAGATATCTTTAATTTACTAACTCCGTATTGCTTTGGCTTTCTGGGTTACTTCCCATGGGAGCTACTGTAAACGCGATGGCGTAGTAATCTTTGGTTAAATTTGGTATTCATTCTACCCGTAACGCTAATGGTAAGGGTAAAGACCAATATGGAATAGCATACCAAAACGAGAAGTTCTTAAGTTGACTCTTTAGTTTATTAAGAGGAACCCTGACCAGGTCAAGTGGCCAAAGTGCTCTATGTCACGTTAGGTTAAAGCAACTAGGTCTATCTGTTCTACTTTTTCTTTTCTACATATTGGAGAATATCCGCAGTGTAAATTTTAGGGGTGATAGTTAAGGAGTAAAGCGGCCTGGGTCTGCCCGGTGGGTGGACGTGTTGCAGGCAATCTAACAATAAGAAATGTCTAGAAGAAGCTTACTAAAGCCCAAAAGGCAGCGTTTGATTTTCCCCCTTTTATCCAAGAGGTTATTACCGGGATGTTGCTGAGCGATGCTACCTTAGTATTCAATGGTAAATATGCTCGAATGCAAATCAAACAAAAGGATAGAGCCTTTGTACAGCAGCTCTGGAATCTCTTTAATGAACTAGGCATAGTAGGTTATGGCCCCGCATTGATCTCTGCTTTCTAAGGAAACTGGTAAAACCTACTCTGCTTATGGATTCAAAACTTTTACCCTCCCTTATTTTACTGAATCACACTCTATTTGGTACGTAAAAGTCGATGGGAAGAATGTGAAAGTAATTCCTTCTAATTTTGCTGACCTTATCACTCCTATCTCTCTTGCTTACTGGGTTTCCGGGGATGGCTCATATAATAAAAGATATGGGTGCATAGGAATCGCTACGCATTCCTTTCTCTTGCCGAGGTTGATCAGTTACGCTCTGTACTGAAGGATCGCTATGGTATTGAATCCTCTCATATTGCTCATAATAAAGCTAAGGAGCAGTACATTATACGGATCCCCAAAAGTTAAGTTACCAAAGTACAGTCATTGGTATCTGTACATATTCCTGCTTCTATGCGTTACCGTGTAGGACTTTAATCTTTCTCTCGTAGCCCCCTTTTTCTGAGGTTGGTTCACGACGCTTTTCTGATTTTCTGCTTGTTTCGGGTATCTTTGTTCTTCTGCTTGTTACGGGGCCTAATCCTCTTCTTATTTCTCATTGAACTTTCTTCTAAAAAATTCCTCCTTATAATTTTGGTACTGATACCGCTTTGCTCTCTTGCTGGGCGGCGTAAATACACTTGAAAGTGCCTTAGCAAGGCTGAAAGCTGCTAAACTCTTCCCTGATCAACCAAAGAAATCATCCTGGAGAAATATTAGGCGAGGTTGTGCTTGGAGCCCAGGTCCAAGGGGTCTTCTGCTACCTCCTGCCAGGTCCAGCGTTTTGCCGTGCTAGCCGGGTGTGGAGGTGGTTTTGTTAAAGTTATAGAAAAAGAAAGCTAGTTAGAGATTTAGTAAGATTAAGAGAAATAAAGGTAGGTAGATAGGTAGGGAAATAGGCAGGGTGCCTGGTAAGTGTAGTTTTAATCTCTTAAGTTATTTTGATCTTTTCTCCCCTTTCCCTTTTACATAGATTAATTGGTTATAAAAAAATCCAAGGAGATTAGCTTAATGGTAGAGCAGGTGCCTTACAAGCACAAGGTGGTAGTTCGATTCTGCCATCTCCTATATTCCTTGTGTAATAATTTCATACTAATTGGATTGAAATACAAACTTCGCCAGGTAGGTTAAAGTTTGACCTTCCACTATCTTCGAAGACCTTAATCCCGTTGCTCTAGCTGTATGGGCTCAAGGAGACTTGAACAAACCTAATAAGGGTTTCGTATTTAATACCCAGAGCTTTACTTTACAGCAAGTTGTCATCCTGCTAAATGTTCTAATCATCAAATATGGGCTTGATTGCACCGTCTTCTATTACAGGGGTCGGCCTAGAATATTCATTAGGACTAACTCTATGAATAAGTTTCGAACAATCGTGGGCCCACACTTTCATCCTTCTATGTTGTATAAGCTTCGCTAACTTTATTATATGGGGGGAGGTGCACCCCCTATAATGTAAGTTTGTTTAAATTCCCCCCCTTAGATTAGAACAGACTAACTAACTTAGCAAGTGACTTTAGCGAGTATAGGCTAGTGGTAAACCGAGTGGCCTCCAACCACGATTCGCGTGTTCGAACCACGCTGCTCGCACTGTCTTATTCTGTTTATCTTCCTCCTTACATCCCTTAGGGTTTCTTGTTGGCCTGTCACCCCCCCCTCACTCCTTGGGCCGAGGGGGGTGTGCCTGCACCTGGGGAACCCAGCACCAATAACCTGGCCTTGCCCAGTACCAGGTTTACCTGACCTAACCATGCCCGATCCCTCTTTTTCCAAAGATTCCTTGGTTCGGTGGTAGGTTGATTATTTGATTTGATTATCTTTATCTTTGCCTTCATAGAGTCCAATTGACCTGGCCCTTGCCCAGCACCCCCGTCATGATAATTATAGGCATTAGGGGTTTTATATCATAGTTCCTGATTTTGGGTAGTATTTAAAGATACTTGTGCTTCTTATCACTCTAGCCTGTGAAGGTACAGGGAAACCTAGCCTACACCATTCTTCTATCTTAGTACGATTAGGATCCAACATGGTCGTCTTATTCTTCCCTCGGCCTACCTAACTTTATTCCTCTATCTCTTAATACCCGTAAAGCCTCCTTTCTACTTCTGTTTTGTTTGTTTTTTGTGTCAATTGAACTCAATTTTCTCTTTGTTTTGTAAGGTTGTTTGATTTTATTATATGATGCCCCGGAAAGGCAAGTTAACTTGTTTAGTCTACGAGGGGTTGGGGTTTAGACCTAGTATTTGTTGTCTTTAATGTTGTTTATTACTTGTTTTTGTTTAGTCTGGTTCTATGGTGATGGAACACCTAACAACATTGCTTTTGTATGGAGCAAACCTGAAAAAGAGTACACCATGAAAAAAAGGCCGGCATCTTAGCCATCGGAGGGGAAGAGATAAAGAACATAAAACCCTAAAACAGCTAAAAGAAAACGATGCTATCCTTCATAAGTTCTTAAACATCTTCAACATGGGCAGACATACACTTGCTACCAACCAAGAGATAAAGAAGATAACAATGATGACTGACCCTGAGACGCTTGTGATAGACTGAGAGAAGGATGGCAAACCACAACAGTTTTACTTCAACGCTTTTGTGAATGATATAAAAGAAGCCACTGCTGTTATAATTTTTGGTGCCATGGGGAACTGGTAAAACCCTTCTGCTATCTAAGCTGGCTGCCGAACCCACTATTTGGGGCAACAAGTAGTAAGCTTCGACTTCTTTTCTAGTTTATCTCTAAAAATTCCCCTGTTAGGTTGCTGCCAAGCCTTAAAAAGGTTTTGTGAGGAAACTGGTAGCCCTGCTGAATTTAAAATTCAGTGCCTAGTGCATGCGGGTTCGAATCCCGCCAAAACCACTATAGCAGAGAGCTTCATACTTGGTCTAAAAGAGCTAGGTAGTTTATAGGTTACTGGATGCAAGCAAAGAAAAAGAAGGCAAATAGGTCCTCGTGGACACTTCCCTTGGTAGGGCTTGTCCCAATTGTCCCCAGGTCCGTTGTCCCTGGTGGGCAGAAAGCATTCGTATAATCATCGCACATATATTCCATAACATAATTCCTCACATCATAGTTGGATCAGAGCACCCATCATCAATCTATACAACCACGACGAATATAGGTTACCACCACCTAATTCATGGAACCTACCATCAATACACAATCCTTCATACCAAGGTAAAACGGAGACAAATATCATAGGGTGAATCTCTGAAGATACCACAGTCACACATTGTATCCTACCTTCCCCTTCCTTCCAACAACATCTCGACCCAGAGTTTCATGTTCTCATCTCTCAACCTGATCTCCTCCTTCAGAGCATTATCTCTCAACACAATCTCCTCCCTCATCTGTCTTATGGAATCTTCATGTCTTCTATCCCTTAGTTCACTCTCCCTCTCCATTCCATGTCTGACCATGACGGCCAATCCTATCATCGCACCTAGGTTGGATACAACCAAGACCCAGGTATTCAAATCAATAACCATATCACTATTTAAACCAACATATTCTATAATCACAAAATAACCACATCAACCTTAAATTATATCCATAGGACCAAGGTACAGCATCACCAACATACGTGACCACAGTGAGAATCGATCTCATCCCCACAACGATGGATCAATGTACCACAATACAATACCCACATAGACTCACATGAAATTCCTCCTAACCCACTTGCGTCTCAGTATACCCCTCTTCCTACCGTATACGG